TGTAAGTCTGAGTTATTGGTAAATGAGTACATCGCTAAGCCAGGAAAGGTTGTATTACAATTATATCGGAACATTTCTCATCATTCTTACAATTATATCGGAACATTACTCATCATTCTTACAATTACATCGGAACGTTAAAATTCATTCTTACAATTATATCTGAACATTTCTCATCATTCCTGATCTTTCTTACAATATGAATGTTACTGATCCTTCTGTAATATTTGAATGTTAATGATCATTCTACAATATCTGAATGTTACTGATCCTTCTGTAATATCTGAATGTTAATGATCATTCTACAATATCTGAATGTTACTGATCCTTCTGTAATATCTGAATGTTAATGATCATTCTACAATATCTGAATGTTACTGATCCTTCTATAATATTTGAATGTTACTGATCCTTCTACAATACCTGAATGTTACTGATCCTTCTACAATATTTGAATGTTACTGATCCTTCTACAATATTTGAATGTTACTGATCCTTCTACAATATTTGAATGTTACTGATCCTTCTACAGTATTTGAATGTTACTGATCCTTCTACAATATTTGAATGTTACTGATCCTTCTACAGTATCTGAATGTTACTGATCCTTCTAAAATTTTTGAATTTTTACTGATCCTTCTACAATATTTGAATGTTACTGATCCTTCTACAATATTTGAATGTTACTGATCCTTCTACAATATTTGAATGTTACTGATCCTTCTACAGTATCTGAATGTTACTGATCCTTCTACAATATTTGAATGTTACTGATCCTTCTACAATATTTGAATGTTACTGATCCTTCTACAATATTTGAATGTTACTGATCCTTCTACAATTTATTTTGAATGTTACTGATCCTTCTACAATATTTGAATGTTACTGATCCTTCTACAATATTTGAATGTTACTGATCCTTCTACAGTATTTGAATGTTACTGATCCTTCTACAATATTTGAATGTTACTGATCCTTCTACAGTATCTGAATGTTACTGATCCTTCTACAATATTTGAATGTTACTGATCCTTCTACAATATTTGAATGTTACTGATCCTTCTACAGTATCTGAATGTTACTGATCCTCTACAATATTTGAAGTTACTGATCCTTCTACAATATTTGAATGTTACTGATCCTTCTACAGTATCTGAATGTTACTGATCCTTCTACAATATTTGAATGTTACTGATCCTTCTACAATATTTGAATTTTTACTGATCCTTCTACAATTTTTGAATGTTACTGATCCTTTCTACTATTTGAATTTTTACTGATCCTTCACAATATTGAAGGGTTACTGTTTCCTTCTACAATATTTGAATGTTACTGATCCTTCTACAGTTTTTTGAATGTTTACTGATCCTTCTACAATATTTGAATTTTTACTGATCCTTCTACAGTATTGAATGTTACTGATCCTTCTACAATATTTGAATGTTACTGATCCTTCTACAATATTTGAATGTTACTGATCCTTCTACAATATTTGAATGTTACTGATCCTTCTACAATATTTGAATGTTACTGATCCTTCTACAATATTTGAATGTTACTGATCCTTCTACAATATTTAAAAGTTACTGATCCTTCTACAGTATTGAATGTTACTGATCCTTCTACAAAATTTGAATTTACTGGATCCTTCTACAATATTTGAATGTTACTGATCCTTCTCCCATATCTGAATGTTATGATCCTTCTACAATATTTGAATGTTACTGATCCTTCTACAATATTTAAATTACTGACTTCTACAATATTTGAATGTTACTGATCCTCTACAATATTGAATGTTACGATCCTTCTACATATCTGAAGTTACTGATCCTTCTACAAATATTTGAATGTTACTGATCCTTCTACAATATTTGAATGTTACTGATCCTTCTACAATATTTGAATGTTACTGATCCTTCTACAATATTTGAATGTTACTGATCCTTCTACAGTATCTGATTGTTACTAATCCTTCTTACAATATCTGACTGTTAATGATCCTTCTACAATAACACAGAGGTTGTGCACCAGCTCTACACCCCTGAGGTTGGCCAGTCGCGTTACAACATTCGCTTATAAGTGATATGTTCTACCACCCTAGAGTGACAACTCAATATTTCAATTAAAACAAAACATCAGTTTTTGAGTGGAAACAAGTCAATCTTTGGTTCTCTATGCCTATACAGTGAAAGAAAAATTGACCTCTTGTTGCAGTGTTATGATAATGGGTTGCTAGCCAGCGGAAATCAATGTAGCTTGCATGGCTATCCATGGCCCTTGCAATACTGCTTCAGGCAACATTAGATGGTCTAGGATGAACCACAGGGCCATACAAGATGACAGAGTTGCAGTACCCAGGGTACTGTTGTTGCAGTACCAAGGGTACTGTTGTTGCAGCACCCAGGGTACTGTTCTTGCAGCACCCAGGGCACTGTTCTTGTAGCACCCAGGGTACTGTTCTTGCAGCACCCGGGGTACTGTTGTTGCAGCACCTTGGGCACTGTTGTTGCAGCACCCTGGGAACTGCTGTTGCAGCACCCTGGGTACTGTTGTTGCAACATCCAGGGTACTGTTGTTGTAGCTCCCATGGTACTGCTGTTGCAACATCCAGGGTACTACTGTTGCAGTATCCAGGGTACTATTTTTGCAGCACCTAGGGTACTGTTGTTGCAACATCCAGGGTACTATTGCTACAGCACCCAGGGTACTGTTGTTGCAGCACTAGGATACTGTTGTTGCAGCACCCAGGGCACTATTGTTGCTTCACCCAGGGTACTGCTATTGCAGCACCCACAGTACTGTTGCTGCATCACCCAGGGTACTGTCAGAACACTCAAGGTACTGTTGTTAGAACACCCAGGGTACTATTGTTGCAACACCCAGGGTACTGTTGCAACAACCAGGGTACTGTTGCAACACCCAGGGTACTGTTGCAACATCCAGGGTACTGTTGCAACACCCAGGGTACTGTTGCAACTTCCAGGGTACTGTTGCAACACCCAGGGTACTGTTGCAACATCCAGGGTACTGTTGCAACACCCAGTTCTACGTAACACTCAGTTCTAGGCAACATCCAGTCCTATGTATAGTAGATAGTCAAGGCAGGAGAGTAGTTCTAGATAGACAGTAGTCAAGGCAGGAGAGTAGTTCTAGGTAGACAGTAGTCAAGGCAGGAGAGTAGTTCTAGGTAGACAGTAGTCAAGGCAGGAGAGTAGTTCTAGGTAGACAGTAGTCAAGGCAGGAGAGTAGTTCTAGGTAGACAGTCAATGCAGGAGAATAGTTCTAGGAAGACAGTCAAGGCAGGATAGTAGTTCTAGGTAGACAGTAGTAAAGGCAGGAGAGCAGTTCTAGGTAGACAATAGTCAAGGCAGGAGAGTAGTTCTAGGCAGACAGTTAAGGCAGGATAGTTCTAGGTAGACAGTAGTCAAGGCAGGAGAGTAGTTCTAGGTAGACAGTAGTCAAGGCAGGATAGTTCTAGGTAGACAGTAGTCAAGGCAGGAGAGTAGTTCTAATTAGACAGTAGTAAAGGCAGGAGAGTAGTTCTAGGAAGACAGTAGTCAAGGCAGGAGAGTAGTTCTAGGTAGACAATAGTCAAGGCAGGAGAGTAGTTCTAGGTAGACAGTAGTCAAGGCAGGAGAGTAGTTCTAATTAGACAGTAGTAAAGGCAGGAGAGTAGTTCTAGGAAGACAGTAGTCAAGGCAGGAGAGTAGTTCTAGGTAGACAATAGTCAAGGCAGGAGAGTAGTTCTAGGTAGACAGTAGTCAAGGCAGGAGAGTAGTTCTAGGTAGACAGTAGTCAAGGCAGGAGAATAGTTCTAGGTAGACAGTAGTAAAGGCAGGAGAGTAGTTCTAGGTAGACAATAGTCAAGGCAGGAGAGTAGTTCTAGGTAGACAATAGTCAAGGCAGGAGAGTAGTTCTAGGTAGACAGTAGTAAAGGCAGGAGAGTAGTTCTAGGTAGACAGCAGTCAAGGCAGGAGAGTAGTTCTAGGTAGACAGAAGTCAAGGCAGGAGAGTTCTAATTAGACAGTAGTAAAGGCAGGAGAGTAGTTCTAGGTAGACAGTAGTCAAGGCAGGAGAGCAGTTTTAGGTAGACAGTCAAGGCAGGTGAGTAGTTCTAGGTAGACAGCAGTCAAGGCAGGAGAGTAGTTCTAGGTAGACAGTAGTCAAGGCAGGAGAGTAGTTCTAGGAAGACAGTAGTCAAGGCAGAAGAGTAGTTCTAGGTAGACAATAGTCAAGGCAGGAGAGTAGTTCTAGGTAGACAGTAGTCAAGGCAGGAGAGTAGTTCTAGGTAGACAGTAGTCAAGGCAGGAGAGTAGTTCTAGGTAGACAGTAGTCAAGGCAGGAGAGTAGTTCTAGGTAGACAGTAGTAGTCAAGGCAGGAGAGTAGTTCTAGGTAGACAGTAGTCAAGGAGAGTAGTTCTAGGCAGACAGTAGTCAAGGCAGGAGAGCAGTTCTAGGTAGACAGTAGTCAAGGCAGGAGAGTAGTTCTAGGTAGACAGCAGTCAAGGCAGGAGAGTAGTTCTAGGTAGACAGTAGTCAAGGCAGGAGAGTAGTTCTAGGTAGACAGTAGTCAAGGCAGGAGAGTAGTTCTAGGTAGACAGTATTCAAGGCAGGATAGTTCTAGGTAGACAGTAAAGGCAGGAGAATAGTTCTAGGTATACAATAGTCAAGGCAGGAGAGTAGTTCTAGGTAGACAGTAGTCAAGGCAGGAGAGCAGTTCTAGGTAGACAGTAGTATTCAAGGCAGGAGAGTAGTTCAAGATAGACAATAGTCAAGGCAGGAGAGTAGTTCTAGGTAGACAATAGTAGTCAAGGCAGGAGAGTAGTTCTAGGTAGACAGTAGTAGTCAAGGCAGGATAGTTCTAGGTAGACAGTAGTCAAGGCAGGATAGTTCTAGGTAGACAGTAAAGGCAGGAGAATACTTCTAGGTAGACAGACAAGGCAGGAGAGTAGTTCTAGGTAGACAGTAGTAGCCAAGGCAGTAGTTCTAGGTAGACAGTAGTAAAGGCAGGAGAGGAGTTCTAGGTAGACAGTAGTCAAGGCAGGAGAGTAGTTCTAGGTAGACAGTAGTAAAGGCAGGAGAGTAGTTCTAGGTAGACAGTAGTAAAGGCAGGTGAGTAGTTCTAGGTAGACAGTAGTAAAGGCAGGAGAGTAGTTCTAGTTAGACAGTAGTAGTCAAGGAAGGAGAGTAGTTCTAGGTAAACAGTAGTAGTCAAGGCAGGAGAGTAGTTCTAGGTAGACAGTAGTCAAGGCAGGAGAGAAGTTCTAGGTAGAAAGTAGTCAAGGCAGGAGAGTAGTTCTAGGTAGACAGTCAAGGCAGAATAGTTTTAGGTAGACAGTCAAGGCAGGAGAGTAGTTCTAGGTAGACAGTAGTAAAGGCAGGAGAGTAGTTCTAGGTAGACAGTAGTCAAGATAGAAGAGTTCTAGGTAGACAGTAGTAAAGGCAGGAGAGTAGTTCTAGGTAGACAGTAGTAGTCAAGGCAGGAGAGTAGTTCTAGGTAGACAGTAGTCAAGGCAGGAGAGTAGTTCTAGGTAGACAGTCAAGGCAGGAGAGTAGTTCTAGGTAGACAGTAGTAGTTCTAGGTAGACAGTAGTAAAAGGCAGGATAGTTCTAGGTAGACAGTCAAGGCAGGAGAGAAGTTCTAGGTAGACAGTAGTCAAGGCAGGAGAGTAGTTCTAGGTAGACAGTAGTAGTGAAGGCAGGAGAATAGTTCGAGGTAGACAGTAGTCAAGGCAGGAGAGTAGTTCTAGGTAGACAGTAGTCAATTCAGAAGAATAGTTCTAGGTAGACAGTAGTCAAGGCAGGAGAATAGTTCGAGGTAGACAGTAGTAAAGGCAGGAGAGTAGTTCTAGGTAGACAGCAGTCAAAGCAGGAGAATAGTTCTAGGTAGACAGTAGTCAAGGCAGGAGAGTAGTTCTAGGTAGACAGTAGTCAAGGCAGGATAGTAGTTCTAGGTAGACAGTAGTAAAGGCAGGAGAGTTCTAGGTAGACAGTCCAGGCAGGATAGTTCTAGGTAGACAGTAGTCAAGGCAGGAGAGTAGTTCTAGGTAGACAGTAGTCAATGCAGAAGAATAGATTTAGGTAGACAATAGTCAAGGCAGGAGAATAGTTCTAGATAGACAGTAGTAAAGGTAGGAGAGTAGTTCTAGGTAGACAGTAGTCAAGGCAGGAGAATAGTTCTAGGTAGACAGTCAAGGCAGGAGAGTAGTTCTAGGTAGACAGTAGTCAAGGCAGGAGAGTAGTTCTAGGTAGACAGTAGTCAAGGCAGGAGAGTAGTTCTAGGTAGACAGTAGTAGTCAAGGCAGAAGAGTAGTTCTAGGTAGACAGTAGTAGTCAAGGCAGGAGAGTAGTTCTAGGTAGACAGTAAAGGCAGGAGAGTAGTTCTAGGTAGACAGCAGTAGTCAAGGCAGGAGAGTAGTTCTAGGTAGACAGTCCAGGCAGGAGTAGCAGCTCTAGGTAGACAGTAGTCAAGGCAGGAGAGTAGTTCTAGGTAGACAGTAGTAAAGGCAGGAGAGTACTTCTAGGTAGACAGTAGTCAAGGCAGAAGAATAGTTCTAGGTAGACAGTAGTAAAGGCAGGAGAGTAGTTCTAGGTAGACAGTAGTCAAGGCAGGAGAATAGTTCTAGGTAGACAGTAGTAGTCAAAGCAGGAGAGTACTTCTAGGTAGACAGTAGTCAAGGCAGGAGAATAGTTCTAGGTAGACAGTAGTCAAGGCAGGAGAGTAGTTCTAGGTAGACAGTAGTCAAGGCAGGAGAGTAGTTCTAGGTAGACAGTAGTCAAGGCAGTAGAGTAGTTCTAGGTAGACAGTAATCAAGGCAGGAGAGTAGTTCTAGGTAGACAATAGTCAATGCAGGAGAGTAGTTCTAGGTAGACAGTAGTCAAGGCAGGAGAGTAGTTTTAGGTAGGCAGTAGTAAAGGCAGGAAAGTAGTTCTAGGTAGACAGTAGTAGTCAAGGGGGGAGAGTAGTTCTAGGTAGACAGTAGTAAAGACAGGAGAGTAGTTCTAGGTAGACAGTAGTAAAGACAGGAGAGTAGTTCTAGGTAGACAGTAGTCAAGGCAGGAGAGTAGTTCTAGGTAGACAGTAGTCAAGGCAGGAGAGTAGTTCTAGGTAGACAGTAGTCAAGGCAGGAGAGTAGTTCTAGGTAGACAGTCAAGGCAGGAGAGTAGTTCTAGGTAGACAGTAGTCAAGGCAGGAGAATAGTTCTAGCTAGACAGTAGTCAAGGCAGGAGAGTAGTTCTAGGTAGACAGTAGTCAAGGCAGGAGAGTAGTTCTAGGTAGACAGTAGTCAAGGCAGGAGAGTAGTTCTAGATAGACAGTAGTCAAGGCAGGAGAGTAGTTCTAGGTAGACAGTAGTCAAGGCAGGAGAGTAGTTCTAGGTAGACAGTAGTCAAGGCAGGAGAGTAGTTCTAGGTAGACAGTAGTCAAGGCAGGAGAGTTCTAGGTAGACAGTAGTCAAGGCAGGAGAGTAGTTCTAGGTAGACAATAGTCAAGGTAGGAGAGTAGTTCTATTTAGACAGTAGTCAAGGCAGGAGAGTAGTTCTAGGTAGACAATAGTCAAGGTAGGAGAGTAGTTCTATTTAGACAGTAGTCAAGGTAGGAGTAGTTCTAGGTAGACAGTAGTCAAGGCAGGAGAGTAGTTGTAGGTAGACAGTAGTCAAGGCAGTAGTTGTAGGTAGACAGTAGTCAAGGCAGGAGAGTATTTCTAGGTAGACAATAGTCAAGGTAGGAGAGTAGTTCTATTTAGACAGTAGTCAAGGTAGGAGAGTAGTTCTAGGTAGACAGTAGTCAAGGCAGGAGAGTAGTTGTAGGTAGACAGTAGTCAAGGCAGTAGTTGTAGGTAGACTGTAGTCAAGGCAGGAGAGTAGTTCTAGGTAGACAATAGTCAAGGTAGGAGAGTAGTTCTATTTAGACAGTAGTCAAGGTAGGAGAGTAGTTCTAGGTAGACAGTAGTCAAGGCAGGAGAGTAGTTGTAGGTAGACAGTAGTCAAGGCAGTAGTTCTAGGTAGACAGTAGTCAAGGCAGTAGAGTAGTTCTAGGTAGACAGTAGTCAAGGCAGGAGAGTAGCTCTAGGTAGACAGTAGTCAAGGCAGTAGAGTAGTTCTAGGTAGACAGTAGTCAAGGCAGGATTATTATTATTATAATCAAAAAGAAGCGCTAAGCCACAAGGACTATACAGCGCTGCAGGGCAGGAAGGAAGCGAGGGCATCAGGTGGCAAAAGGGAGATGGATGAGCAACAGGTTACGGATAACAGCGGGGCAGTGGATGGTGAAAGGGTAAAGGGCAGCAAGAGACTGAACCAGAAAGGGCTGAGGGGAGTGCGAAAAGTATCATCAGAGTTTGTGGAGTAAATCAGTCGTTGTCAAGAAGTCAATGAGAGAGTCAGGATTAAAGGAGGGTCCATCAGCAAGAAGGGAAGGTAAAGAGAGAGTAGGAGAACGAAGACGACGTTGGAGGTAAATTCTGCGTGCTCGTTGATAGAGAGGGCAGTCTAACAGAATGTGGCTAATCGATACTGGAACTTGACACTGCTCACAGAGAGGAACAGGGTGCCTCTCCATGAGATACCCATGAGTAAGACGAGTGTGGCCAATGCGAAGGCGGGAGAGAGTGGTCTCCCAACCTCGGCACTGATGACAAGAAGACGGCCAGTAACCTATGCTCGGTTTAATAGAATGAAGTTTGTTACCGAGCAGAGTTGACCACGTTGTTGCCAACGGGTGCGAAGGTGGGTAGCTAATTGCAGCAAAATAGTCCAGAAATGGAAACACCTCGATAGGAAATTGGTAGGTCATATACTGCTAGACCGCGCAGCAGTGTCTGCCTGTTCATTGCCCTGTACGTCGACATGACCAGGGACCCAACAAAAAAACAATATCTTTATGTTTGGTAGAGATACGGCGTAGCCAAAGTTGGATACGGAGAAACTAGGGGATGAGATGTATCAAATTTTCGTATAGCCTGTAGAGCACTAAGGAGTCTGAGACTACTACAAATGATGACACAGGCATAGATGCGATACGAATAAGTGCTGCAAGAATGGCATACAGTTCAGCAGTAAAAATGCTAGCTGAAGATAGTAAATGCCCTCGTACGACGCTTGTCCGGAAACACTGCTGCGAATCCGACGCCGTCTGAAGACTTAGAGCCATCTGTGTACACAGCGGTGGCATGAGAATGAGAGTGGAAGTGATCAAGAAAAAGAGAGCGGGAAGCCACCGTAGGCAGTTGAGCTTTCGAGCAAGGGAGTGAGAAAGAACAGACCCGAACAGCTGGAACTTCCCAGGGGGTAGGGAAAAGTGAGATGCTACATGAACATATAAAGGTGGTAACTGAAGGGAAGACAAGAGTGAAAGTAGGCGAAGAGAAAAGGGACGGAGCAAACAGGGGCGGCGAACGAATAAAGAATGTCTACTAATATCGGTGACCATTCTATAAATGGAAGGATTGTGTAGATCGTGAGAGCGTACATAGTAACGAAGGCAATGGGCATCACGGCGATCAGACAAGGATGGAACATTTGCTTCTGTATAGAGGCTCTCAACAGGGGAAGAGCGAAAAGCACCAAGGCACAAACGTAAGCCTTGGTGATGGATAGAGTTAAGGCTAGAGAGAGTAGCAGGAGAGGCCGCGGAATAAATCTGGTCACCATAATCGAGTTTCGATAAAACGAGGGCTGAATGTAGGCGAAGCAGAGTTCGACGATCAGCTCCCCAGGAAAGATGAGCAAGGGTTTTAAGAAGGTTTAGCCGGCTGTGACAAGTTGCCTTCAGAGAGGTAATGTGAGGTTTCCAGGTTAACCGACGGTCAAAGAGAAGGCCTAGAAACCTGACTGTATCACGTTCGGGATACGGGAGCCATAGAGATACAAAGGATGATCGGAGATAACAGAGCGTCTAGTGAAAGTAATTTGGTGAGTTTTGGTACTTGAAAATTTAAAACCCATGTGTGGTGGCCCAAGTGGAAACACGTCGACCGCATGCTGGAGAGAAACTGCAATAAGGTGACAGTCAGCGCCTGCACAAGCAATAGCGAAGTCATCAACATAGAGTGATGACCAAATATTGGGGAAGAACAGAGGCCAAATCATTTATAGCAAGGAGAAAAAGTGTTGTGCTTAGAACACATCCCTGAGGGACACCTTCAGCTTGGACGAAGTCCGGGGAAAGAACATATTGACTCGACACGGAAATGTCTGTCAGTTAAAAAGTTCTTAAGGAAGGATGGTAGATTGCCTCGGAGGCTAAGGAATGGGCCTGGGCCAAAATATTATACCTCCAAGTTGTGTCATATGCCTTCTCAAAAGGGCAAAAAATATGGCAATAACTGAGTGATTATTCGCAAAGGCATTACGAACATACGTTCCAAGCGTAGTAAGGGGTCTATGGTAGAACGACCCTTACGAAAGCCATATTGACTAGCGGAAGAGACTGTTGTGAGTCTCTAAATACCACATAAACGTCGATTTACGAGGCGTTCCATCACTTTGCAAACTGCACTTGTAAGAGCGATGGGGCGATAGTGGGAGGCATCATGTCCTGTAGTACCCGGTTTGCGGAAAGGGAGAACAATGGCAGATTTCCACAGCTGGGGAAGAACTCCTTGTGCCCAAATAAGATTGAAGAGGTGTAAGAGGACTACAAGGGCTGACCGATGTAAATGTTGTAACATACGAATATGAATGTCATCAGGCCCAGCTGCCGATGATCGGCAAGCTGAGAGCGTTGCCTCCAGTTCTTGAAGTGTAAAAGGCACATTATACTGTTCTTCTCCGAGAGGAAGAAAAGTCCAAGGGTTACTAACTCTCTGGCAGACTTTGAGGAAAGAAACGAGGGGCATAGATGGAGCCCTCGGGAAATACGGACCAGATGTGTGCCAAGTTCAATGGCAATCGTCGAGAGGGTTTGCTATATCAACACCAGTGACCCGTAGAACAGGAGCGGGTCAGGAGAGTATTTACCACTCAATTTCCTCACTTTTTTCCAGACTGCACTCATAGAAGAAGCAGAGGTGATGGTGGAAACATAGTCTCGCCAACAAGTGCGTTTAGCTTCACGGATGACACGGCGAGCGATCGCACGCTTCTGCTTAAAATCAACAAGTCTCTCAGCGGTTTCTATTGTACCGGTACCTGCCCCATGCTAGCCACGTTTCAAACGTACTGCACGAGCACAAGCAGGAGACACCAAGGCACGCACTTCTGAGAATGCCTGCCTGAGGTTTGGGGTATAGAATGAGAAGCCGCGGTATAAAAATGATGTCGAGAAGATGTGTAGGAGCTCATCAATGAGGATGAAGAAGGAACCTCACTAAAAGCAGTGAGGTGTGGAGTAAAGATCCCAATTTGCTCCGATCAAATTGCCAGCGAGGGCTACGGGAAGGTGGTGAATAGGAAGGAGAAGTAAGAATGATCGGAAAATGATCGCTGTCATGTAAGTCTGGTAGAACAGACCAGGTGAAGTCTAGTGCAGTGGAGGAAGAGCAGACTGATAGATCGATGCAAGAGAGAGTATGAGTACGAGGATCAAATGGGTGGGAGTACCCGTATTAAAACATGGAGGGGGTGAGAGCAAGAAAAGCCTCCAACTGAATGCCACGTGAGTCACAATGAGACCCCCCCAGAGGAAATGGTGGGCATTAAAATCACCAAGTAACAGAAGTGGTGGTGGTAAGGATGAAACAAGAAAGGCAAAGTCTGGATAGAAAATGCTCGAGAAGGAGAGAGATATAAAGAACATATTGTAAACCACTTATTCAAGTGGATACGGGCTGCAGTGTAATGCAGCGAGGTATGGACAAATAGTTGACAGTACGGAATATCATTGCGTAGAAGAAGGGCACTTTCATTAAAGGTCCCATCTGAGAAAGGATCCGAAGAATACAATAAATTATAGCCTGAGATAGGTTGGAAAACAGCCGAGTGTAATTTTGGTTCTTGTAAGCAAGCACCAACAGGGAAAACCTGGAAAGCAACATCTGAAGCTCACCCCGATTACCCTGAGGCGCGGATATCCACTGTAAATAGGCCATGATTGGCGATGAAGAAAATATCAGGAATCTGTAGGTAAAGGCACCTACGGACTAGAGGGGTTAGAAAAGTCAACGTGTGGTGGCATTGGAAGATGTTCAAGTAGCGAAGGAACGGAGCGTTGCGAAGAATGGGTTGTGAAGATGGAGGAGAGGGAAGAGAAGGAACAGGAAGTGAATCAGTGTCCATTGAAGGTTTAGTCTCTGCAATTATATTCTGAAATGGCTTCAAGTGTTTCTGAATTCAAAGATGTATGGGAAACCATATTGGAGATAGGAGGAGAGGGTGAGTAAAGATTGGGACAGTAATGGACTGTACCAAAGTAGAGGGGGAGGGAAAAGTGTAAGGACTGGAGATGAAGTGTGGGGGGGGACAGAAGAGGTAGAAACCTGGAGGGTGACAGAAGAGGGAGAAACTTGGGAGGGGACGGGGGTGGAAGGCATAGTACGAGGAGGAGGGTGAATCTCCACACTTGTAACAGAGCCAAGAGAGGGGAAGAACTAGGTACAGAGACTGGAAAGGTAACGTGTGGAGTGGAAGAAGGGAAGGAAGGGGCAAAGAAGATTTGAGCAATGTGGATTTTTTGGACTTCTGAGTAGAGGGGCGATTGGTATTAGGTGTCGTACGAGGTCCTTGTCGATACTGGGGCTTGTGAGGAAGGACGCGAAGATGTGAGAACAGACTGAGTTGTAGTCGGGACGTCAGAGCCAAGGACAGCAAAAGGATTAGATGCCGTAATGGCTATGGGAGGGGTAACAACAGAGGAGGCTGCAGAAGATGGGACCCAGAAGTGGGGGGATGTTTGGAAACACGAAGAATAAGAAACACGGGTGAGTCTCCCTTGGAGGCGGAGATGAGTAACTGCCATAGCATAAGGGAGACCTTCTGCCTCTTTGAGGCAACGGATTTCACGTTCATTTAAGTAGACCTGGCAACGGCGGGAGTACGAAGGGTGAGCTTCATTACAATTAAGGCAAGATGGAGGTTGACTGCAAGATGTATTAGAATGGTTGTCGGCACCACAGACTGGGCATTCGGCCATAGATCTGCAATATTTCGCTGGGTGACCAAAACGCCAGCAATTTCTACATTGTTGTGGTGTAGGTATCACCTTTCGAACTTGTAACCGATGTCCCGCGACATATACAGAGGACGGGAGTTCTCGGCTGTCAAAAGTTAAACGAGCCACATTGCAAGGGTAACGTCTCCGCCCCCGGGCAGGAAGGACATAAGTGTCTACTTTGAGGATTGGGAGATCCTGGAGTTCCAGCTGTTCAAAAATGTCATTGCCACATGACTGGAATTCTGTTGGACTATGGTATGGGGGCAGAATGACAGTACCACTACAAGAATTGAGAGAAAGATGTTTTTCAATAGTGATAGGAGTAGTATCGATATTCGAAAGGAGAGAAAGATCATGAGCTTGGGTAGCATTCTGGACAGTGACGATGCGCGTACCGCTCCTGAGAGCGTGAAATGAAATATCTCTGCCACATGACGCAGGAGCGCTTGGCAATACTATGGTCAGAAAGGTAGGCAGAAGAAGAAGTTGGTCTTAAAGTAAAGAATTTAGTCCATTGTGTGGTCCGAAACTGAGCGTGGAGAGGGAGTGCTTGACGTGTCGGTCGTTTCCGAGTAGAATGGAAGGTAACGACGGAGCATCATCAGGAGATTGACGTTGGCGTTTAGGAGTAGGACCGGAGTTGGTCCGGCATGAAATGGGTGGGCGATTCGAAAATTGCCGTACCGTAGAGGGAGAAGCCGGAAGCATAGTCAAAGGAGAGCGGAGTTCAGACAAATCGAAGGAGTCAGTCGAAGCCCCGGTACCTGAAGCGGGTGAGGAAACAGCACCAGCAAGAGGTACAGGGGCATCAGGAGTGTCCGAAGAGTGGTCTAAACACAAGGCAGGGTCAGAATGGGTGCGGTATCAAGAAGGGGCCCGGGGGTAGTGGTTTCATGGACTAGGGCTGCCATGGTTAGGTTACTCCTTTGCTTTTTGTTTTTAAGAAAAAAAAAGAAAGAAGAAAAGAAAATAAAAACAAAAAAAAGAATAAAAAAAGGGGGGAGCGGGGAGGAATAGTTCCCAGGAGGAATGAAAGGGCCGGAAATCTCCCTCCGCGCCCAAGAGGACTCGACACGCTAGTAGTGCAGATGCAGCATGGAACCCGTGCCATACCTACCCTTCATGCCAGTAAACCAGCAATCCGGATAGCAACCTCACATCTGCCGAGCTACCTCGGTGGACAAAAGAGAGGGCGGCCGGATATCCGCCACAAAGCATACCTCCTTCAGCCACCACCCCGAATCCGAAAGGTGGCTTCCAGAGATAACCCATCGCCCAAAAGACACCCAAAGCTACTCCGGGATACCGGAGAGGGATCGGGACATCCCTAGGCAATCCAGATTCCACGGCAAACTACGCCACCGCCAAGAAACCTCAACGGAATGGGATCGACCCCGGTGTCCTTTCCCCTACCTAGGAACTAGCGCGCCTGTGGGAGAAATCACGAAGGCTAAAAAGAGGAAGGGCAAAAGGGAGGGGTGAGGAGGAGGAGGAGGAATGGAAAAAGGGGAGGATGGGGAGGATGGGATAGGGGAGGGGAGAATGGGGGGTAATTAGGTTCGGTCTGAGGAAGAAGACCGACAGGGCTAATTCCTCAGACCAAGAGCCTCTTCACCACGCCAAGGAGCCCCCCTTGAAGAGGAGTCAAGGCAGGAGAGTAGTTCTAGGTAGACAGTAGTCAAGGCAGGAGAGTAGTTCTAGGTAGACAGTAGTCAAGGCAGTAGAGTAGTTCTAGGTAGACAGTAGTCAAGGCAGGAGAGTAGTTCTAGGTAGACAGTAGTCAAGGCAGGAGAGTAGTTCTAGGTAGACAGTAGTCAAGGCAGTAGAGTAGTTCTAGGTAGACAGTAGTCAAGGCAGGAGAGTAGTTCTAGGTAGACAGTAGTCAAGGCAGGAGAGTAGTTCTAGGTAGACAGTAGTCAAGGCAGTAGAGTAGTTCTAGGTAGACAGTAGTCAAGGCAGGAGAGTAGTTCTAGGTAGACAGTAGTCAAGGCAGGAGAGTAGTTCTAGGTAGACAGTAGTCAAGGCAGGAGAGTAGTTCTAGGTAGACAGTAGTCAAGGCAGTAGAGTAGTTCTAGGTAGACAGTAGTCAAGGCAGGAGAGTAGTTCTAGGTAGACAGTAGTCAAGGCAGGAGAGTAGTTCTAGGTAGACAGTAGTCAAGGCAGGAGAGTAGTTCTAGGTAGACAGTAGTCAAGGCAGTAGAGTAGTTCTAGGTAGACAGAAGATCACTATAACCTACAACCAAGCAACATTGAACACAACACAAAGCAACATTGCAGAGGGCAGTCATATTACCAGAAAAATCTCACATGTGTCGGGTTTTTAGCATTTCACATCAACTTTGCTTGAAAATTGTTGCACAGATGAGACAAGATGGAACACAGTTTTGGTGAATGTATTGAACACAAGTGTTACATAGCAACACTGAAGCAATGCTTTACAAGTGTTGTAGTGTTGTCAAGACCTGATGAATGTTCTGGAACTCAGATGGTCATATACTGTGTTTTAGTGGTCCAAGTGAACAGTGAACACTTTACAGTAGCACCCCCTTAGCCATGGATTCACTTTTCAATGTTCCACTTAGCCACAGTTTACTGTGGCCCAAAAATAACCCTTCAGCTTAATAATGACCACAAAGCATTGATGGTGACAGTTGTTCAAAGTCTCAGAGAAGCTGTGAAGTGTTTCCCATCAGTGATAAAATGATAATTCTAGACTTACTGTGCATAATTTATCAAACATACTTTCTCATAGCTGTGTATGTATACCAAAAACCACTTATATACATGTATATTCTTGTCTATTATCCACAGTTTCTCTTATCCATAGTTGTTCTTGGAAGGTATCACTTGAGGATACCGGAGCACTACTGTATGGTGATGGCTACTATCCATGGTTCCTGGTATCCATGGTTGTTCTTGGAAGGTATCACTTGAGGATACCGGAGCACTACTGTATGGTGATGGCTACTATCCATGGTTCCTGGTATCCATGGTTGTTCTTGGAAGGTATCACTTGAGGATACCGGAGCACTACTGTATGGTGATGGCTACTATCCATGGTTCCTGGTATCCATGGTTGTTCTTGGAAGGTATCACTTGAGGATACCAGAGCACTACTGTATGGTGATGGCTACTATCCATGGTTCCTGGTATCCATGGTTGTTCTTGGAAGGTATAACTTGAGGATACCGGAGCACTACTGTATGGTGACGGCTACTATCCATGGTAGTTCTTAGAAGGTATCACCCAGGGATACTGGAGTACTACTGTATAATTATACACTGAGTTGTATTCACACGTTTAAACATATTTGGCAATAAATACGGTTACTTTGAATTTGTTTATTCTTTTTACATAACACAGAGGAACACTGCAGAAGGCCTACTGGTCCATACTAGGCAGGTCCTTCTCAAACCCACTATCTGCCCAATCCACTGTCAATGCTAATTATCTTACAGAAACTGTAATCATCATATTTTCATAAAAATAGATAAAAAACATAGCAAAAAAGGGTTAAATTCGTGCATTACTGACAGATAGACTACTTTTGTTTTTCCAATGAACCAGCTGCATCCCACTCAGACGGTGACCTAAAAATGCAAAGTTTCTCTCATACAGTGGACCCCCACCTTACGATCAGCTCCCAACTTGAACAATTATGTAAATGTATTTTTGTAAGTGCTTTTGTACGTGTATTTTTGGGGGTCTGAAACGGACTAATTGATTTACAATATTCCTTATGGGAACAAATTTGCTCGGTAACGGCACCCGAACAGACTTCTGGAATGAATTAATATCGTAAGGCAGGGGTCCACTGTATTTCGTAATGTATACAGGAGAAGGGGTTAGATAGCTTACTATCATACAGGTTAGATAGCTTACTATCATAAAGGTTAGATAGCTTACCATCACAGTAAGGTTAGATGGTATCCTATCATAGAAAGGTTTGATAGGATACTATTATAGAGAAGTAGGTGACAAGGTGAATGTTGTTAAGTTGTCATTATTAACAATGGTGGTAATAATGGCAACATCACTCCAGTCACCTGCTGACACTTGTGGCAGCATCACCCCAGTCACCCGCTGACACTTGTGGCAGCATTACCCCAGTCACCTGCTGACACTTGTGGCAGCATCACCCCAGTTGCCTGCTGACACTTGTGGCAGCATCACCCCAGAGTCACCTGCTGACACTTGTGGCAGCATCACCCCAGAGCCACCTGCTGACACTTGTGGCAGCATCACCCCAGAGCCACCTGCTGACACTTGTGGCAGCATCACCCCAGAGTCACCTGCTGACACTTGTGGCAGCATCACCCCAGAGCCACCTACTGACACTTGTGGCAGCATCACCCCAGAATCACCTGCTGACACTTGTGGCAGCATCACCCCAGAGCCACCTGCTGGCACTTGTGGCAGCATCACCCCAGTTGCCTGCTGACACTTGTGGCAGCATCACCCCAGAGTCACCTGCTGACACTTGTGGCAGCATCACCCCAGAGCCACCTGCTGACACTTGTGGCAGCATCACCCCAGTTGCCTGCTGACACTTGTGGCAGCATCACCCCAGAGTCACCTGCTGACACTTGTGGCAGCATCACTCCAGAGCCACCTGCTGACACTTGTGGCAGCATCACCCCAGTCACCTGCTGACACTTGTGACAACAACATAACTCTGACTTTGGGTATTTCAAGTTTATGATGGTTCAACTTAGAATAATTTGACTTTACGATGGTTCAACTTAGGATATTTCAACTTTATGTTGATGCTGCAACAATAACTTTGAAGATGAAACATAAAATAATTACCCAACATGAAGGCAACAAGTCCCTAACTTGTATTCATTTACTGACTTTTTAATACTGGTATATACTTCTAAACTGTTGTATTCTGAGCACCTCTGCAAAAACAGTGATTATGTGCGAGTGTGGTGAAAGTGTTGAATGATGATGAAAGTATTTTCTTTTTGGGGATTTTCTTTCTTTTTTGGGTCACCCTGCCTCGGTGGGTCACCCCGCCTCGGTGGGTCACCCTGCCTCGGTGGGTCACCCTGCCTCGGTGGGTCACCCTGCCTCGGTGGGTCACCCTGCCTCGGTGGGAGACGGCCGACTTGTTAAAAAAAAATTTAGTTAATTATTTGTTTATTGAGTTATTCAGTGACACTAGTTATTTACTGATTTATTTATTTATTAATATATTTGACTTTTATATTTTCAAGCATAAGATGGTTGATAGATTAACATGGGTATGGAACTGTGATGACAACGTACATACCCACTGTTGTACCTGCGTACACAACGTACTTCCAGGCTTGGCTCTTGTAACTGAGGCTACAGGTACACTAAGTGTTAAACATGTGGAACACATGTACATGTTCAATATTCAATAATAACCAAACCACAAATGGGATTACAACCCACGGTTTGTTTGCACTGGTGCTATTATGATTTCATGAGTCGTGAAGACTCAGCAATAACCCAAAAGGAGCAGGAAACACAGGAGGTTAATTGATATGCATATTTTGACCCCATTTTGGGGTCCTCTTCACCAGATGACCACGAAGATGGTCAAAATATACACATCAACTTCCTGTGTTCTGGTCTCCATGTGTGTCATTACTGAACACTGACAAGTGTTCATTACACCATAGTCATTCATGTGTTCATTGCATTCCACCATAACTGAATCATTCATTCAACATTTCCTAATCGATGTAATAGGCCTAAACCCCACAAATATTCAATTTTTCCGGTGTGCCTAATAATCCGGCCGCCTCTCCATACTTAACTACGAAACGTAATGAGCTGTGTCATTGTTCAAGACACTGGATGTTCAATGCAACAAATTAACTAGGCCCTAAAGGTACACTGTCTTGCTGGTGTTGTTGTGAAACTATATCAATATTGTTGCAAAGGTACACTGACTTGCTGATGTTGCTGCAACAATAAAAGTCAGTGTTACAAAGGTACACTGACTTGCTGATGTTGCTGCAACAATAAAAGTCAGTGTTACAAAGGTACACTGACTTGCTGATGTTGCTGCAACAATAAAAGTCAGTGTTACAAAGGTACACTGACTTGCTGATGTTGCTGCAACAATAAAAGTCAGTGTTACAAAGGTACAATGACTTGCTGATGTTGCTGCAACAATAAAAGTCAGTGTTACAAAGGTACACAGACTTACCAGTGTTGTGGCAACAATAAAAGTCAGTGTTACAAAGGTACAGTCTTGCCAGTGTAGCCGTGAAGATAAATTTTTGATGCAGACTTAAAACAAGTGACTTACAAAGGTAAGAGTGTATTTCAGGTGTTGCAGAGTACATGTGAAGCAACACAAGAGGGCCACAACAGAGTTGCAGCAACAGCAACACTGGTCAACAAGCTCCCAGGCTACAATGTCATCAATAAGTCGTACCTCTTATAAAGCTCCACTATATAATCTGTAAGTGTGATTGACCAAGTCAATCTAAAACTGGAGTGTGTGGAAATGCACTTAATTTCCACTGCACTCTTTCAACCGTATTCATTACAATACTTAACAGAAATTGAATATTGCAAGGACAGACCTTCATGGTACAGTAAACCCTTCATATAATGGACTGATGCGGGAGGATTATCCAAGTGTACAATAACTCATTAAGTAATAAAACAAGTCTCTTATATCAAGTTTACTGTACCTACTACTCAATTTCCGCTGTACGTTTTCAACCGCATTTGTGAGAAGATCGAGTAACTAGAGGAGTCTGATAAAAGGCCTAATCATACACACAATAAATGGGGTAGACAGAGAATATATAAGAAATATCAGAATTAATAAAAATTGCAAGTAAAACCATACACTGGAAATCATACAAATAATTTCCATTTAAAAAGTCCCAATTATTACTAATTATACATATCTCAAAATTCCAAAACCACAGATAATACTACTAAATGGTCTTATGGAAACACTTCACTAATAAAGGCCCTCAAAATCAAAAATGGCTTAAAAGGAGAATAAAATGATAAACTGACAAAGAATCCTTCAAAACTATCCTAGTATACTGCATGACATCCTAACAAACTAAGGAACTAAAACCTGGGTCCTGTGGGGGTGACTATCCGGGTGTGTATAAGAGTGCACTCGCAGGCATCGCTCATACACATACAGTAATACACTCGTATGCATGCATCAATACTGCATGCACACGTATGTACAAGCACCTCACACACATATGCATTCAAGTTCATGCATCTGCACACACTCTCACATACTCAAGTATAAAACATGCACTCACTGCCATGCACTCATACAAAAAACACACGCACAATCACCCTACACATCAACAAGCATCGCGAATTCCTCGGGCAGAGTCGAGGTGCAGCGACGCCAGAAATGACATGGTAGGCGCCTGCTGGCGTAGGCTGGCGGACACACATCAACCGTGTCAACCCACAGGACCACCACCCTAATAGAACACCACCCAGTGTTCCGTTCTCAACTACAGTTTGCAAGATGGACAATAGGCTCATAATCACATAGCGGGAGCACATGGAAAAAATGTCAAACGCTCACAGATCACCAACATCATCGGTGAGTTCCAAGCCATCCCAGCGGCCGACTTCCAGAGTTACGGCAATCTGGAAACCAGGCCTAAGACTCTAGGATCCTGGCTGCCTATAGGCGAGTTAGAAGCCATCCCAGCAGCCGACTTCCAGAGTTACTGCAATCTGGAAGCCAGGCCTAAGGCTCTAGGATCTTGGCTGCCTATAGGTGCTTAGAAAACCCAACCCTGCTATCTACATAGCATAAAGTGACTTCAATAAACTGGACACAAATATCTGAGAGAACTATAGTAGTAATACAGGTAGAAGTAGTAAGGGTCAGGTGGGAAGGGTCGTAGTGGTACTATCCAACACACTGAAGATAGTATTAGTACTATCCAGCACACTGAAGGTAGTATAGGTACTCTCAAACACACTGAAGATAGTGCTAGTACTCTCCAACACACTGAACACAGTACTAGTACTCTCCAGCACACTGAAGATAGTACTAGTACTCTCCAGCACACTGAAGATAGTATTAGTACTACTAGTACTAATCCTGATAGTCAAAGTGACAATCTGAGCACAGTTTCACATCTAGAAGTCACCAGAATAAGTGAAAATCTTTCTTAAGCAGTAAAAAGGTCACTGAATCCTAGCTACCACAAACTGGGAAATCTAGAATGGAGTCAGGGAGAAATATAAATGTTTTTTGAAGCGTGACAATGTGATATTTAGAATACTAACAAAGATTGTTTAGAAACACTGAGGATATTTGTGTCACCTAATATCATTAAATACACATTACAATTATCTTACAAAGTTTTTACACACCTTTAATGACCCAAAATATTACACTCACAATTGTATTTACACTTTCAAGAAAAATATAGATACGTACACTCATATCTTTTTGTGTACTACGTCCGCGTACTACCTCAATGTACTACACCGGTGTACACTGATGAACTCTCTTAGTGTTTTGTGAGGGCAGAACTAACATTGGGCGACAATGTTACATTGTTATACTGAACCCACACAAACAATCTTGATTGCTGGGTGACGATACACCCAGATGCACTGGCCTCTCCATTCATTGGACGAGGGAGCTAGGGGCCGCGGACGACTCCCTCAGGGCCCCAGCATTGCACAATAAAGGAGGGCCAAGTATGTACACCACCTGTTTTCAGTGTTCTGCACTTTTGTTGGCTTCCAATTTAGGCATCATTCCACACATCGGTGACAATCACCAGCACGTGGAATGTAACGAACAATGGCCAATGAAAACATAACACCGAAAATAGGTAGTGTACATGCAGGGCCCTCCCCTACACTGACATTGAGAGAGAGAGAGAGAGTCACCTGGTGACACATTACCCAACAATCAACCTTGTCTATATGTTATATATGCTAAAATACTAGAGCTTAGGCACTCTAAATACAAACATCACATGTTGAGGGCTGTTATAAAGGTGCTGATAACCAGCACCAAAACTAGTGATAACCTCTACTGGACCAAATTGATGATTTGTGTACAGTGTTCCAATGGTCAGTCTCACAGATTCTTACTAACCCAGTTCCATTCTTGGGGCCAGGAGTGAACTGAGGTATCTTAACCTGAATCAAGGGCAATTATTTCAACATTATTAATCAATTTAAAGAGGACAATTATTCAATTTACCACCAGGACATTTCATGAGGACAATGAGATAGTCAGACTTGTGTAATCACACGCACAATGCTGTGCTTCACACCAAGCACGCACAAGGTCACTAAGCTACTTATGTACAGTCAACACATGATCTGCTCTCCAAGGATAACGTCTAGTTTCTAACTTACAAAAATTCTAAACTAAAAATGTCCGAATGGCAAAAAACGTCGACTGAAAATAACTGGGCATTTGTTTATGAAGTGTCTGGCGTAGATAACCTCAGAACACACCCTGCATCACGTGGGTCGTCATAACCTGGAGACGACCTTGGCTACTGCTGCCCCCTACATACAAGGTCGCAGCCAACATCTACAGCAGCTGTAGATCTGACCACCACCCTACATGTCTAGGTCTAAGATAAAAAAAAAAGATAGGCATGGCTGCCCCCCCCATCCTCTCTCCTCACTGAAGTAGTCACTAGCAATGTGTATGAATGGTATATAATACCCACAACATGGAGAATTAAACACGTGTGCAACATCTGCACGTTGCAGATGCTGCACGTGTCTAATTTTTCAGTTACTATCAATGCCGACTCCATTACTTCTCAGGCCTAAAAGTCCTATACCATTCATTTCTTTTTGTGGTAAAAGTACAAACTTTCAGAATTATCAAACTTTCTTATATCTTGAACTTAAACAATAAAAATATTCTAAAAGACTTTAAAAGAAGAAGAAAAAAAAAGTCAATCAAAAATATTGCAACACTCGCAACTCTACAAGAAACATGTTTACTAACACATCAGATGTTTGTCACCAAGGCAAGGTGACCCCCAAGAAGACACACCTTCACCATCACTCACTCAATCCCTCTCTAGTAGAGTAAGTCCTTGACTTACACATTGAGAATCTTCTGTATTGTGTATAATATCAATATTATATCATTATTGTGTATAATAAAATCATTATTATGCACAATACAGGAGGTCCACAATGTGTTTGTAAGTTGAGGACTTACTGAACCAGCAAGCCTCTGGCAAGACAATAACGGTGTGAGTGACAGTCAAAGTCTTTCTTCTATTTTGGGTTGGTGTCTTAATAAAAAAATCTTGCCATGAGAGAAGTCACAGTGGAGGTTAAGAGAGGCAGGTGATGGGGGTCAGCACTTAGCCCATGTGTGTAATAGTCTCTCCTGCTACCCACGGAGACCACGGCCCAGAGACCTCAGTCCGGAGACCTTGGTTCAGAGACCACAGTCAGGAGACCTGGGTCTGGAGACCTTGGTCCGGAGATCACAGTCAGGAGACCTTGGTCCCGGAGACCTTGGTCCCGGAGACCTCAGTCCTGGAGACCTGGGTCTGGAGACTACACTCAGGAGACCTGGGTCCAGAAACCACAATCAGGAGACCTCGGTCCAGAGATCACAGTCAGAAGACCTTGGTCCAGAGACCATAGTCAGGAGACCTAGCTCCAGAGACCACAGTCAGGAGACCTGGGCCCAGAGACCACAGTCAGGAGACCAGGGTTCAGAGACCATAGTCAGGAAACCTGGGCCCAGAGACCACAGTCAGGAGACCTGGGTCCAGAGACCACAGCCAGGAGACCTGGGTCCAGAGACCACAGTCAGGAGACCTGGGTCCAGAGACCACAGTCAGGAGACCTGGGTCCAGAGACCACAGTCAGGAGACCTGGGTCCAGAGACCACAGTCAGGAGACCTAGGTCCAGAGACCACAGTCAGGAGACCTCAGTCCAGAGACCAAAGTCAGGAGACCTCAGTCCAGAGACCACAGTCAGGAAACCTCAGTCCACAGACCACAGCCAGAAGACCACAGCCAGGAGACCACAGTCAGAAGACCACAGTCAGGAGGCCACAGTCAGAAGGCTACAGTCAGGAGGCCACAATCACAAGACCACAGTCAGGAGACTTCAGTCTGGAGACCATGGTCCAGAGACCACAGTCCAGAGACCATGGTCCAGAGACCACAGTCCAGAGACCAGTCAGGAGATCTCGGTCTGGAGACCACGGTCCGGAGACCACAGTTCAGAGACCACAGTCAGGAGACCCTGGTCCAGAGACCGCCACAAATACCATACAGAGGATGTTTCAAGATAAAAAGAGAAGGTCCTCACACGCTGGACATAAATAACATCTTTACACATAGGGAAGAAGTCCAAGAAAGCGTATATGTTAATGGAGATCAAACAAACCTGCGAACAAACACCAAACACGGTGCACCGTGCCGGCGAGCGCTGCACCGCCGCCGCCCCGCCTTCCCTTGCTTTGTGGACGGGAAGACGGGCTCGACCACACGGCGCCGAGACCCTCGGCTTCGTCGGCTATAAACACAAGACTACTCGTGCTAAAACATCTACTACAGACCACTGTCAAGCCCCTTGTATCCCTTTAAAACATATCAAACGTATTTAGACTGGGTAAAACACAAAATAAATATACACCTGTATAACTGCATATTGTTAGGCCTACTTGACTGAAGATACAGTTCGTGGCATTTATTAACCAATATCCTTAGTGGCTAACCTTCACAGAATTAACACTTGGAGTTTCAACTAAAATCTTACACTTGATAAGATTTATCAAGTTCAACACAAAACAAACTTAGAACTTCTTTGGCCGACTTAAAAGTTTAAAAATGTGGCCACTTTGGTGAACCAAAGTGGCCAGCGCGCACACAGTGTCCATCCTTCAAGAGCGGCGCTCCTACCATTCAAGGCTCGCACACAAACCATAATATACAATAAAAAGTGATAACTAGTTCTCTTACTCATCAACAATATGCTGATGAATATCACCGCCCCAGGGACGGCCGATGTACGGTTAAGATGCTGAGGGCGCGCTCCAGCGCACATGCACTAGTTCTACACACAACTCTGGGGCCCATACTGATCCTTGAGTCATGTTAAGAGAACAATCAACTCAAAAACTCTATATTGGCCCCCAATCAGTAATCACAGGGCAGTAATTATATCAAAGAGCTTTGCACCTATGGAGATTTATAACACTCTCATATTTACTACTTTTGTTAAACACTTAGTCACTGTCAACCCTGACACTTGGCACGAACAATAATGACTATTTCCTCCTGGCATTTATCGTTTCCCATTTTTCTAGTCAAAATCTAGCAGGCCCATGATGCCATTTTTTTTGTAATGGTGATGTTTGTAGTAAGGCAGCTCTTTGTTAAAATGTAGAGAAGGTGGTGAGGGTCAGGCCTACACTAGACCCCTTCTTTCCCCTCATTATCCACCTTTCAATTCTACAATTCTTGAGGGGGTTACCAAAAAATTTATTTCCAGCTCAACTTCTGGGCCATTTCTATTCTTTGACGGCGGACAGACGAGAAGTTTCTTCTATTCGGAGAACCAGATGCTCTGGTACTGGCTCTTGGCAGGGGAGAGCGCCGTGTATGCATTGTACGGCGGCGCCACTTGTGGGTGTGTGGGGAACACAGCCGTTGGTTGCATGTGGGCGGGAAGCGGGTGGGCGGGCGGTGCGGCCAGCACGGCACGCCCATTGCTGTGGTGAGCGGGTGGTGGCAACGCGCCTCTGAAAGCAAGCAAAACACATTATCAACAATGTCTTAACTTGTACTTTAAATAATATCCAATACATGTCCTCTATTTTTAAGAGAATGGCCATGTCCCACCAAACAGGGAGGCTTAACCCTGGGTCCGTACTGTAGTTCTACGGCTTTGAAGCCAGGGTCTGTGCCGTTGTTCTACATGATGAGCTCAGCTTACTCAGACAAGCTGTGAGCAGAGAATTTGGGACTAAATATGATAGAATGGGTCAATGCAGTAAGTGTGCACCATATAAAATAAATCCTGCAGCACACAGTGCATAATGAGGGGAAAATAGCTGTTTTTTATTTAAAACAGCCAATTTATGGTGTATTTTTATATGGTTCTTATGGGTGTATTCTCAGTTTCTTGGTCTCATTTGACAAAGTGGAAGATATATTACAGAAATAGAGATGATTCTGAAGGTTTTGAGGACTCAAAATAGCTTGAAAATGAGCTCAAAGTAGCGGAAATGTTCGATTTTTGCCGATGTTGAAGAGTAAACAAATCACGTCCGTCGTCCAATACACGTCAACTGGCAGGTCTAACATGCATTCATTGATATTATTTATACAATTATTACAATACTGCATGACAGTAAATCTTCTATTTTTTTGGTGAATAAAAAATCAAAATGGAATTCATCTGTAAAGCTTGGAAACGTAACTAAAAAACAGAAGAAATGTTATTTTAGTGCCAGGAATGCTGGACCCTATTTTGAAATTTGTGTCAAATTAGCTAAATTCCCAATTTCTGATCACTTTATTGAGTAGTTGAAATAGTTGATTGGGTGGTTTCTTAGGCTCAGTCAATAAAATAGAAGACATACTAGCAAAATAGATAAGAATTTGGTCACAAGGAACCATGTAATTGGCCTAAAATAGGAGTCACAGTGGGCAAAATTGCCATCGCATAAATATCGCCGACACCGCAAAATTCGTGATAGCGTAATTTTGCCAATTTTCCACCAAATTTCTTACTTTTTTTTTATTACCTTCAGAAAAACATTCTCCACCATTTCATAAGAAAAAATAACAAAAGTTTCTTTTGAAAATTCTTGGACCCTGTGGACAAGTTTCAGATCAGGGGTCTGGAACCTGAACGGTTAAAGAAAATGCATTCACAATTGTTCAGTCAAACACTTCAGACACTGTACTTCACACTTCCAGTACTGAAATAATCTCACTCATCCTTCAGAGTAGAGTCACTGTGCTTTCCACTGCCAGAACAGTAACATTCTCACTCATCCTTCAGAGTACAGTCACTGTGCTTTCCACTGCCAGAACAGTAACATTCTCACTCATCCTTCAGAGTACAGTCACTGTGCTTTCCACTGCCAGAACAGTAACATTCTCACTCATCCTTCAGAGTGCAGTCACTGTGCTTTCCACTGCCAGAACAGTAACATTCTCACTCATCCTTCAGAGTGCAGTCACTGTGCTTTCCACTGCCAGAACAGTAACATTCTCACTCATCCTTCAGAGTGCAGTCACTGTGCTTTCCACTGCCAGAACAGTAACATTCTCACTCATCCTTCAGAGTGCAGTCACGTGCTTTCCACTGCCAGAACAGTAACATTCTCACTCATCCTTCAGAGTGCAGTCACTGTGCTTTCCACTGCCAGAACAGTAACATTCTCACTCATCCTTCAGAGTGCAGTCACTGTGCTTTCCACTGCCAGAACAGTAACATTCTCACTCATCCTTCAGAGTGCAGTCACTGTGCTTTCCACTGCCAGAACAGTAACATTCTCACTCATCCTTCAGAGTACAGTCACAGTGCTTTCCACTGCCAGAACAGTAACATTCTCACTCATCCTTCAGAGTACAGTCACAGTGCTTTCCACTGCCAGAACAGTAACATTCTCACTCATCCTTCAGAGTGCAGTCACTGTGCTTTCCACTGCCAGAACAGTAACATTCTCACTCATCCTTCAGAGTGCAGTCACTGTGCTTTCCACTGCCAGAACAGTAACATTCTCACTCATCCTTCAGAGTACAGTCACAGTGCTTTCCACTGCCAGAACAGTAACATTCTCACTCATCCTTCAGAGTACAGGTACAGTGGTACCTCGGGATACGAGCAGCTCAAAACTTGAACAATTATGTAAGTATATTTATGTAAGTGCTTTTGTAAGTGTAATTTTGGGGGTCTGAAACAGATTAATCTAATTTACATTATTCTTTATGGGAACAAATTTGTTCGGTATCGCCACTTAAACAGCCTTCTGGAACGAATTAAGTTCATATCCCAAGGTACCAATGTACTGTACTTCTCTGTATAACCAGGGATTTTCTATATAGAATGTCATATAGTAGCTTATGAGAGGTTTTTACAATGCAGAGTGTTATAGGAAGAGCAGAGTATGGAGAGTTAAAGAAAGGTGAAGAGAGTGGTGAGAGAGTGCAAAAGGAGAGCAGATGATAGAGTGCAAAATGCATTGTCAAGAAATTTTGATGAAAATAAGAAAAATTTTTAGAGTGAGATAAACAAGTTAAGAAAGCCCAGGGAACAAATGGATCTGTCAGTTAAAAATAGAGTAGGGGATTTAGTAGATGGGGAGATGGAGGTATTGGGTAGATGGCAGGAATATTTTGAGGAACTTTTAAATGTCGATGAAGGGAGGTGGTAATTTCATGCACTGGTCAGGGAGGTATAACATCTTTTAGGAGTGAAGAAGAGCAGGATGTGAGTGTGGGTAAGGTGCATGAGGAATTATGTAGAATGAAACGGGGTAAAGCAGCTGGAACTGACAGGATCATGACAGTAATGTTAAAAGTGGGAGAGGGGGGGGGGGAATAGTGTTGGAGTGGTTGGTATTTTTGTTTAATAAATGTATGAAAGACGGGAAGGAACCTAGGGATTGGCAGAGAGCTTCTACAGTTTCTTTATATAAAGGGAAGGGGGACAAAAGAGATCGTAAAAATTGCAGGGAATAAATTTACTGAGTATACCAGGAAAAAGTGTACAGTAGGGCTATTATTGAAAGAATTAGAGGTAAGACAGAGAGTAGGATTGCAGATGAGCAAGGTTTTAGAGTGGGTAGGGGATGTGTAGATCAAGTGTTTACATTGAAGCATATATGTGAACAGTATTTAGAAAAAGGTAGGGAAGTTTTCATTGCATTTATGGAGGGGCTTGGACTTCCAGCAGGCATGCGTGAGCGTGTTTGATAGGAGTGAATGGAGACAAATGGTTTTTAATACTTGACGTGCTGTTGGAGTGTAAGCAAAGTAACATTTATGAAGGGGTTCAGGGAAACCGGCAGGCCGGACTTGAGTCCTGGAGATGGGAAGTACAGTGCCTGCACTCTGAAGGAGGGGTGTTAATGTTGCAGTTTAAAAACTGTAGTGTAAAGCACCCTTCTGGCAAGACAGTGATGGAGTGAATGATGGTGAAAGTTTTTCTTTTTCGGGCCACCCTGCCTTGGTGGGAATCGGCCAGTGTGATAATAAAAAAAAAAATTATGGATTTAGAAAAGGTATATGATAGAGTGGATAGGGGAGCAATGTGGCAGATGTTGCAAGTATATCGAATAGGTGGTAAGTTACTAAATGCTGTAAAGAGTTTTTATGAGGATAGTAAAGCTCAGGTTAGGATGTGTAGAAGAGAGGGAGACTACTTCCTGGTAAAAGTAGGTCTTAGACAGGGATGTGTAATGTCACCATGGTTGTTTAATATATTTATAGATGGGGTTGTAAAAGAAGTAAATGCTAGGGTATTCAGGAGAGGGGTGGGATTAAATTATGAGGAATCAAATACAAAAGGGGAGTTGACACAGTTACTTTTTGCTGATGATACTGTGCTTATGGGAGATTCTAAAGAACAGTAGCAAAGGTTAGTGGACGAGTTTGGGAGTGTGTGTAAAGGTATAAAGTTGAAAATGAACATAGAAAAGAGTAAGGTGATAAGGGTATCAAACGATTTAGATAAAGAAAAATTGGATATCACATTGGAGAGAGGGAGTATGAAAGAAGTGAACGTTTTTAGATATTTGGGAGTTGACGTGTCAGCGGATGGGTTTTTGAAGGATGAGGTTAAACATAGAATTGATGAGGGAAAAAAGGTAAGTGGTGCATTGAGGTATATGTGGAGACAAAAAACATTATCTATGGAGGCAAAGAAGGGAATGTATGAAATTATAGTGGTACCAACTCTTTTATATGGGTGTGAAGCTTGAGTTGTAAATGCAGCAGTGAGGATGCGCTTGGAGGCAGTGGAGATGTCCTGTCTATGGGCAACGTGTGGTGTAAATATTATGCAGAAAATTCGGTGTGGAAATTAAGAGGTGTGGAGTTAATAAAAGTATTAGTCAGAGGGCTGAAGAGGGATTGTTGAGGTGGTTTGGTCATTTAGAGAAAATGGATCAAAGCAGAATGACATGGAGAGCATATAAATCTGTAGGGGAAGGAAGGCGGGGTAGGGGTCGTCCTCGAAAAGTTTGGAGGGAGGGGGTAAAAGAGGTTTTGTGGGAGAGAGGCTTGGACTTCCAGCAAGCGTACATGAGAGTGTTAGATAGGAGTGAATGGAGACGAATGGTTTTTGGGACCTGACGAGCTGTTGGAGTGTGAGCAGGGTAATATTTAGTGAAGGGATTCAGGGAAACCGGTTATTTTTATATAGCTGGACTTGAGTACTGGAAATGGGAAGTACAATGCCTGCGCTTTAAAGGAGGGGTTTAGGATATTGGCAGTTTGGAGGGATATGTTATATATCTTCATATATGCTTTTAAATTGTTGTATCTGGGTGCTACTGCAAAAACAGTGATTGTGTGTGAGTGAGGTGAAAGTGTTGAATGATGATGAAAATATTTTGGGGATTTTCTTTCTTTTTGGGTCACCCTGCCTCAGTGGGAGATGGCCGCCATGTTGAAAAAAAAAAATGTTATTAATGACAATTATGGTCTGTATAAGTTGTATCATGTACTGGTGTCAAAATAAGGATTATTATTATTATTATTTTCTAGCATCATCAAATAATTACTAAAACTAGAGATATATTCTTGTAGAAAGAGTATTCATCCAGTATACCTGGGTAAGTTGGGGTCACTCAGGATAAATGTTAAAATATAATAAATATTTTCCCAAGCCATTATCATCATACCCATGAGTGCCTCACCATACCCACGAATACCTCACCATACCCATGAGTGCCTCACCATACCCACGAGTGCCTCACCATACCCGTGAGTGCCTCACCATACCCACGAGTGCCTCACCATACCCACAAGTGCCTCACCATACCCACAAGTGCCTCACCATACCCACAAGTGCCTCACCATACCAAGTGCCTCACCATACCAAGTGCCTCACCATACCAAGTGCCTCACCATACCTATGAGTGTTACTGGTCCGCAGTGATGAACCATAATGTTGTCGTAATGTCCCAGTGAACCGGTCCAGTCAATGTTGTGCATTTGTTATTATTTATAATTATTACATTATAATAGAACAGGAAGAACCAGTTATTGTGACTTATACTGTGAGTTTTACACACAACACACACACACACACACACACACACACACACACACACACACACACACACACACACACACACACACACACACAGGACCAAGCACGGATAACAGGGAAGGCACTACAATGGATCAGGGAATACTTGTCAGGAAGACAGCAGCGAGTCATGGTACGTGGCGAGGAGTCAGAGTGGGCGCCTGTGACCAGCAGGGTCCCACAGGGGTTAGTCCTAGGACCAGTGCTGTTTCTGGTATTTGTGAACGACATGACAGAAGTGTCCTGTTGCAACCCCTGAATGGGTCACAATGTATATAATGTATATTACCTTTTCATATAATTTTATACTGCTTATATTTGCAATAATAGCTAAATCGTAAATATATTGCTTTATATTATTATTTGACTTAGTTATGTTGTTAGGTAGGATGTAACATTTATATATTATTATTATGTGCTCATAGTTCAAGTCTTGATTGTCTAACTACTGTAATTATCGCTGGTGGCTCGTTACGTTGCCGGCTTCTGTATTGCTAGGCAGCAACTGTCCATGGAGCTATCACGTGATCGAGGGGGGGTGTTCACACCTCGCCTGAAGTATTCAGTCTGGTCTAGACTCGCTTGGTGGTTGGACGTATTCTAGACAAGACGAGCCTAAATCTCCCTTATTGGCCCTTGTTGGAAGATCGTCTCTGTCTCACTGCTGTAGGTTCTGTGGGACTCTGTTCACAGAACATCGTCTAGACTTAGTGATTTTCGACGTTGTACTGAGGTTGTGTGTCGCATAGACACTCTGAGAAACTCAGGTCCTGAGCTGTAGCTTCTGACCTAATTTGTATTGGTATCTGTGTACTGTCACAGTCGGGACTTTCTTATGCTGAACTTAGATTCAGTATTATGGGAGTTTTGTGACTTTTGTGGAGGATCTGCTGATGGTCCCTACTTAGTGTCGTTATATTATCTTGTTCCTGATTCTGTGTCGCAGTTGCTTGTTATATAGCTATTGGGCTTAGCAATCGTTTTATTGTTCAAGTAAGCTGTTCTGATTGCCAGGTGGTCAAGAAGTTAGTTGATGTGAGGACTTTGTCAGTCATTGGTTTAAGTCTAGTAGAGTCGTGAGACATAGCGAACTACTTAAGAGGACTTACGCACATACACACAAACTTATTTGTATATTGTATTATTAAATGTTAATGTACTAGACGGTACTTAAGATGTATAAATGTGATATGTGCCATCAGCACAATACTACTGTACACGAGAGAAGTGATTATTATTAATTTGTTTAAATTTATTAATTTATTTTAATTTGATAATATACTCCTAGACATCTTGATTGTTAATAAATTTATTAAATTTTAATTTCTTCAGTTAGTAACCTACAAGTTGCAATCTTGAAGCACTAATAATTATTATTGAATTTTAATGGATAATTGGACCAGGATACTGACTACTTGTTACGAAAACCCAGTAACAGGCTGAATGCTAGAAGAGCAGTCCTTTCTAGTATTAACTGGAGATCTCTAAGCTTATTAGAAATCGCATTTTTTGTAACATGTTTGCAGATGACGTGAAGTTGATGAGAAGAATCCATTCGATCGAAGACCAGGCAGAACTACAAAGGGATCTGGACAGGCTGCAGACTTGGTCCAGCAATTGGTTCCTGGAGTTCAACTCCACCAAGTGCAAAGTCATGAAGATTGGGGAAGGGCAAAGAAGACCGCAGATAAAATACAGTCTAGGGGGCCACAGGCTACAAACCTCACTCAAGGAAAAAGATCTTAGGGTGAGTATAACACCAGGCACATCTTCTGAAGCACACATCAACCAAATAACGGCTGCAGCATATGGGCGCCTAGCAAACCTCAGAACAGCATTCCAACATCTTAATAAGGAATCGTTCAGGACCCTGTACACCGTGTACGTTAGGCCCATATTGGAGTATGCGGCACCAGTTTGGAACCCACACCTTGCCAAGCACATAAAAAAACTAGAGAAAGTGCAAAGGTTTGCAACAAGACTAGTCCCAGAGCTAAGGGGTATGTTCTATGAGGAGAGGTTAAGGGAAATCAACCTGACAACACTGGAGGACAGGAGAGATAGGGGGGACGTGATAACGACACACAAAATACTGAGAGGAATTGACAAGGTGGACAAAGACAGGATGTTCCAGAGATTGGACACAGCAACATGGGGACACAGTTGGAAGTTGAAGACACAGATGAATCACAGGGATGTTAGGAAGTATTTCTTCAGCCACAGAGTAGTCAGGAAGTGGAATAGTTTGAGAAGCGATGTAGTGGAGGCAGGATCCATACATAGCCTTAAGCAGAGGTATGATAGAGCTCACGGTTCAGGGAGAGTGACCTAGTAGCGACTAATGAAGAGGCAGGGCCAGGAGCTAGGACTCGACCCCTGCAACCTCAACTAGGCGAGTACACACACACACACACACACACACACACACACACACACACACACACAAAACCACCACAAACTTACCCTGGTGTAAAAGGGTTGACAGTATGAGTAGCAGGGATGGATGAGGGTAGGTAAGTTGGTTGAGTGGTAGCAACGTACACCTGAGCAGCAGCGGCAGCAGCGGCAGCGGCCTGTGGCGGTGCAGCACGGCGATACTCCCGGTAAACATCCGCCTGCGTGGGCACAATACCAGCCAGGGAGCTGGTGACAGCTATCTGGGAGATGGGCGACAAGCCGTGAGCCTGGGCGGTCGGGGAGTGGTGGCTGCCGCCGCCACCTCCAGCGTGTGCCCGCCCTAGCGTGTGGGCGTAGGTCAGGCTGCTGTTACTGCTGCTGCCGCTACTGCCCTGCCCGCCCACCACCGCACTGCTGCCTCTGCTGCTACTGCTGCACCAGCCCTTCATGCTGCCTACCACCACGCGCTGGTCACGGTTACTGTGGGCTACTGGAGGCTGTGAGTAGTCCTTGTGTCCTGCAACAACACATACTACATCACAGTATAACACATCATGTAATGAACATCATATACACTAAGTTGAACACTTACAAGCACCCTGACATCTTCTGTATATTGTCTATATCATCATTATTATATATTACTGTACACAATACAAGAGATCCACAATGTAAGTTGAGGACTTTGTAATGTAATGTAATGTAATGTAATGTAATGTAATGTAATGTAACATATCAAGTAATGAACACAATACAGGTGTTCCTCAACTTACAATGGTCTGACTTACAATATTTCAAATTACGATGGTTTGACTTATGGTGGGTTAGTCGGACTGTGACCTTATGGTAAGTCAAGGACCACCTGTACTAATGTAACACACACTGTAACACATCATGCGACTTGCTTATATCAACAGTGCCACAACAGTGACTTACTTGTATCAACAATGCCATAACAGTGACTTGCTTATATCAACAGTGCCACAACAGTAACTTGTTATATCAACACTGACTTGCTTATATCAAGTGCCAAAACAGTGACTTGCTTATATCAACAATGCCATAACAGTGACTTGCTTATATCAACAGTGCCACAACAGTGACTTGCTTATATTAACAGTGCCATAATAGTAACTTGTTATATTAACAGTGCCACAACAGTGACTTGCTTATATCTACAATGCCATAACAGTGACTTGCTTATATCAGCAGTGCCACAACAATGACTTGCTTATATCAAGTGCCACAACAGTGACTTGCTAATATCAGCAGTGCCACAACAGTGACTTGCTTATATCAACAGTGCCACAACAGTAACTTGTTATATCAACAGTGCCACAACAGTGACACTAATATCCCCACCCACAATCCAAAAAGCTATCATGACATATCTTCTCATCCCCCTCAGGCAAGATAACAGTATGCACTAGAACCACAGTTGAAGTCTCCCCAACCGCAGTCTTCAGTCACTGACATTCATTGCGACTCATCCTGTGTTCACCTCAGGCAAGATAACAGTATGCACTAGGACCACAGTTGAAGTCTCCCCAACCCCAGTCTTCAGTCACTGACATTCATTGCGACTCATCCTGTGTTCATTCAGGAATAATACACAATATATTGGTACAAATACATATAAGGGAACGTGTCAATTATAATTTGAAACACCTGTGTTGTTCACACCTGTGTTATCCACACCTGTGATGTTCACACCTGTATTGTCCACACCTGTCTTGTTCACACCTGAGTTGTTCACACCTGTGTGGTCCACATTTGCCTCGTCCACACTTGCCTCGTCCACACTTGTCTCGCCCACACTTGTCTCGTCCACAATTGCCTTGTCCACACTTGTCTCTTCCACACTTGTCTTGTCCACACTTGTCTTGTCCACACTTGCCTCATCCACACCTGCCTCAGGTAACTTACCACATGTTCTTAAAGCATCGACCATTTTGCATTGAGGTAAAGTGGCCACAAACACTTACCACTTAAAACATTGCCACTTTCCCTCCAATATACTTTCTGGTTCATAAATAAACCAACAACAAGTAGGTGTTACTAGCACCCTGCTGCTAATATCTAGTAATTTATACACAAGTAGGTGTTACCAGAACCTTGCTGCTAGTATTTATTTATACAGTAGTAGGTGTTACTAGCACTCTGCTGCTAGTATTTGTCACCTAGAATGATGCAGGTACATGGTGACTATTAATTCTTAAAGCTAGGACTAATATACATCAACTGATAACTAGAGAGGATAATTAACACTAGTCAATGCTTAGAAAATTACCGTATTTTACAGCAAACAGGACGCTCAGTTGTCAACACTGCCCCAATTCTGATAGGCTAAATTTTTGACAAATGAACTTCTGCCTCCAAGACTTCAGGAAAATTTGCGGAAATATTTGGGGAAAAATGGCATCTTTGATGCTGTAAAATACAGTAACTGATGTGTGCGTTGACCCCCTGTTGGGGTTGTCTGCTGAAGAGGACCCCAGAAGGGGGTCCAAAAATGCCCATTAATCAATTTCCAGAGTTCCTGTCACAATGGAGGACATTACTGAGCATCAAGTAATCAATTTTACAGAGGTTTGTACTCTACTAAAAAGTTTGTACTCTACTAGAAAGTCTGTAATCTACTAAAGAGGAATTGTAAAAATCTTACCAGGCGGGTGTACTCCAGACTGTATAGAGTAGTCTTTATGTGCCTGTGGAGGCTGGGTGTAAGAGTGAGTGTGAGTGTGGGTGTGGGTGCGGGCGGGGTCGCGGGTGTGGGCGGCGGGCGGTGGGAGGTTGTCGTGGTGGGTGGGTAGCGGCTGCAACAGTGAGTCCCTGACGTGGGCGGCGGGCGGCGCCAGGTGATCCCTGTGGGCAGTGGGTGGTTATTAAGGTGGGCAGTGGGTGCATATACTGACTTACAATGATCTATAACACTGCTACAATGATCTATAATACTGTCTTACATTGATCTATAATACTGTCTTACATTGATCTATAATACTGTCTTACATTGATCTATAATACTGTTTTTCATTGATCTATAATACTGTCTTACATTGATCTATAATACTGTTTTACATTGATCTATAATACTGTGTTACATTAATCTATAATACTGTGTTACATTGATCTATAATACTGTCTTACATTGATCTATAATACTGTCTTTCATTGATCTATAATACTGTCTTACATTGATCTATAATACTGTCTTACATTGATCTATAATACTGTCTTACACTGATCTATAAAACTCTTACACTGATCTATAACACTGACTCTTCTGATGATCTATAACACTGACTTACAGTAATATAACACTACACATCTTACCTATAATATAACCGTCTTAGGGTCGTTGCAATACAGTGGACCCCCGGTTAACGATATTTTTTCACTCCAGAAGTATGTTCAGGTGCCAGTACTGACCGAATTTGTTCCCATAAGAAATATTGTGAAGTAGATTAGTCCATTTCAGACCCCCAAACATACACGTACAAACGCACTTATATACACTTACATAATTGGTCGCATTCGGAGGTAATCGTTATGCGGGGGTCCACTGTAGTTCTATGTCAATGAGCTCAGCTCAATTAGATGAGCTTTGAGAGGTCACTTTTGACATAGATATGAGAGAATGGGTCTATGTGATGAGTGTGCACCGTATAAAAAAATCCTGCAGCATGCAGTGCAGGGTGGGAAAAACAGAACAGCGACCGTGCGTTTGGTTTAAAACAGCGACTTTGCTGAGTATTTTTGGGATGGTTTTTGTGGTTTTATTCTTGGTTTAATTTGATAGAATGAAAGGTATATTACTGAAATATAGACGATATTGACTGTTTTCAAGACCAGAAGTATCTTGAAATTGATGCTAATCACATCACTCGTCTAATACATGTCAAATGTCCGGTCTAATACACATCCAACTGTCCGGTCTAATATACGTCCAACTGTCCAGTCTAATACACGTCCAACTGTCAGGTTTAATATACCTAAACTCTCCAGTCTAATAAACTGTCCGGTCTAATATACGTCCAACTGTCCGGTCTAATATACATCCAACTGTCCTGTCTAATATATGTCCAACTGTCCGGTCTAATGCACATTCACAATAAGACAGTAGCCTGCGTAACACTAAATCTAATACTTGTTGTGTGAATAAAAATTAAAAGTGGAAGATAAATGTAATATAAAGGAGAGGTCTGAGGAGGCCTAGGGAGACCTAGAGATGCCTGGGAAGGTCTGGGGAGGCCTGGAGAGATTTGGGGAGGCCTGAGGAGGAGTAGGGAGGTCTGGGAAGGCCTAAGGAGAACCTGGGGAAGCATAGGGAGGTCTATGGGGCCTATGGAGGCCTGGGGAGGTCTGTAGAGGCCTAATGATGCCTAGGGAGGACTGAGGAAGCCTGGTGAGAAATGGAGAGGGCTGAGGTGGTCTGGAGAGGCCAGGGGAGGTCTGGAAAGACCTAAAGAGGCCTGGGGAGGTCTGGAGAGACATGGAGAGGTAACTAATGAACAAAGGAAATGTTTTAATGCCAGCAATGTCTACATTGTTTATCCGAGACCCTATTTTAAACTGGCATTTTTTTGTGTGTAAAACTAACCAAATTATTAACTTGTGACCACTTTATTAGTTAGCTGTAATAGTTTGGTCAGTTTGTTGCACTCAATCCACAGAATGGAAGACACACTAGTGATAGAGCTAAGAATTTGGTCAAATGGAACATTGGAATTGGTGTAAAATAGGCTTCAAAGTGGACAAAACAGCCGGTGTGTAAATCTCGCTGGAGTAATTCCACAAGTTTTCCACCAAACTTTGTACTTTTGGCATCGTTACCTTTGGAAAAACATTCTTTATCATTTCATGAGAAAATTTTAAATTTTTGGACCCTGAGAGCAAGTTTCAGATCAGGGGTCCAAATAGGGACAATGTGAGAAGCAAATAAGGTTTGATCCAAGGGAAAGGAAAGTCACATTCCCTGAGGGGATTCAGTGAAAGGTCACATTCACTGAGGGACTCACACAATAACAAGCTAGACAGTGGAAGTACTGACTCACCTGAGGGTACTGACTCACATGGCAGTAGTAACTCACCTGGGAATACTGACTCACCTGGCAGTAGTGACACCTGGGAGTACTGACTCACCTAGCAGTAGTGACACCTGGGAATACTGACTCACCTGGCAGGAGTGACCCACCTGGGAGTACTGACTCACATGGCAGTAGTGACCCACCTGGGAATACTGACTCACCTGGCAGTGGTGACTCACCTGGGAGTAGTGACTCACCTGGGAGTAGTGACTCACCTGGTGGTGTAGATGTTGTCGCGGGAGTGTTGAGCAACATAGTCGCGAGCTTCTGGCTTTGCAACGTGCAACATGCACTCGCTCTGAGCCTTGGCCAGCAGTCTCTTCTTCTGGCTGTGAGACGCTCCCACCGACGAGTAGTTGTGGGACAAACTGACGACCAAATGTTATGTTACAATAACTATCAGCACTTGTTCCATTAAGGTAAGGGTGACAATATTAACTAGTCACACTAACATGTGAAGGTACGGGTGACAATACTAACCAGTTACACTAACATGTGAAGGTAAGGGTAAGAGCATTAACTAGTCACACTAACATGTGAAGGTAAGGTATTAACTAGTTACACTAACAAGTGAAGGTAAGGGTGACAATATGAAGGTAAGGGTGAGAGTATTAACTAGTTACACTATCATGTGAAGGTAAGGGTGAGAGTATTAACTAGTTACACTATCATGTGAAGGTAAGGGTGAAAATATTAACTAGTTACACTAACATGTGAAGGTAATTGTGACAATATTAACTAGTTACACTATCATGTGAAGGTAAGGGTGACAATATTAACTAGTTACACTAACATGTGAAGGTAAGGATGACAATATTAACTAGTTACACTAACATGTGAAGGTAAGGGCAATAATATTAACTAGTTACACTAACATGTGAAGGTAACTGTGATAATATTAACTAGTTACACTAACATGTGAAGGTAAGGGTGACAATATTAACTAGTTACACTAACATGCGAAGATAAGGGTGACAATATTAACTAGATACACTAACATGTGAAGATAAAGGTGAGAGTATTAACCCTTTCAGGGTTGGTGCCGTACTAGTACGGTGTGCATGCCAGGGTTGGTGCCGTACTAGTACGCATAAATTCTATTGCCTTCAAATCTAGCGAGAGAAAGCTGGTAGGCCTACACATGAAAGAATGGGTCTGTGTGGTCAGTGTGCACAATATAAAAATCCTGCAGCACACGGTGCATAATGAGAAAAATAAACTCCGACCGTGTTTTTGGAGTGTTTTTGCAGTGTATTTTCGTATGCTATTTATGGTTGTACTTTAGTTTTCCTGGTCTCATTTTATAGAATTGAAGACATATTATGGAAATTGAGATGATTTTTATTGGTTTCACAATGAAAAGCACCTTGAAATTAAGCTCAAAGTAGCAGAAATGTTTGATTTTTGCCAAAGTTCAAAAGTAAATAAATCATGCCAAGCGGCCAATACACATCAACTGGTGAGTCTAATATTATTTCACAAGTGCACTGATATTATTTATACCATTTCTACACTAATGCAGTAGTCTGCATAACAGTAAATCTTATTTTTTTGGTGTGTGAATAAAAATTCAAAGTGGAAAGCAAAAGAAATGTAACAGAGGCCTGGGGACATCACTAATGAACAGAGGAAATGTTATTTTAGTGCCAGGAATGTCTGTCTTGTTTATTCTGGACCCTATTTAGAAATTGGCATCTTTTGAAATTTGTGTGAACTTGGCAAAATTGCCAATTTCGGACCATTTTACTGGATAGTTGAAATCGGTAGATGGGTGGTTTCTTGTACTCATTCGATAGAAAAAATGGAGTTCTAGTGAAATAGTTATGATTTTTGTCGACTGGTACACTGGAATTGGCCGAAAATAGGGCTCAAAGTGGGTGAAATCGCCGATGCATAAACATCGTCGAGACCGCTAACTTCATGAGAGCATAATTCTGCAAGTTTTCCATCAAATTTCATACTTTTGGTATCACTATGATCGGGAAAAGATTCTCTCATTTCTTAAGAAAAAATAATTATTCTTTTTTTTTTTTTAAATTTCCGACCCTGAGAACAAGTTTAGGAGAGGGCCTGCCGACCTTGAAAGTGTTAAGTAGTTACACTAACATGTGAAGGTAAGGGTGAGAGTATTAACTAGTTACACTAACATGTGAAGGTAAGGGTCACAATAATAACAGTAATAATAGTAACAGTAACAGCAGTAACAGTAATAGTAGTAACAGTAATAATAGTAACAGTAACAGCAGTAGTAGTAACAGCAGTAGTAGTAACAGTAGTAGAAGTAACAGTAATAGTAGTAACAGTAATAGTAGTAACAGTAATAGCAGTAGAAATAACAGTAACAGCAGCAGCAGTAGTAACAGTAACAGCAGTAGTAGTAACTAGTAATAGTGTACTACTACAAACAACAATCAAGATAACATAAATAATTATAATAAAAGACAGTCATTATAACAAGGTCTCTACTCACCTAGCATATTTGTCATCGTGCGATGTCTGCTGTTGCTGTTGTTGCTGCTGCTGTTGTTGCTGGTGCTGCTGTGAACTGGAAGCAATCTTGTTGTTGTTGACACACGTTGAGCAGTGACGGTCCTTGCAACATTTACCTGCAACAGTCGATCATTGTTACCCCAGACATGCAAGATTGTAAATACAGCCTCTCCTAACTTAATGACGTAGTTCCATTCCTAAGACCACGTCGTTAAACAAATTCATCACTAAGTGAGGCGCATACTATAATGGTAGTGGGTTTGTGTCAACCATCTTTGATATTGTTTTAATGTCACCTTTGCACCATTTATAACATTTCTGGTATATTTCTAAATGTTTATACAGTAGTGTACTGTACTATATTAAGATAAACAGAATAGAGCAAATCAGCTCTAATATACAGTTTGTAGGTATAAATACTGGTCAGAGAGCTAATCGTAAGTCCAAGGCGTCAGTAAATGAGTACATTAGTAAGTGAGGAGAGGCTGTATTGTAAATATTGTACATCCAACCATGATAAAGCAAGGAGGCTCTGTACAGGAGGACCCTGCTTCACAGTGCTTTGCATTACAAGGTTTTGTTTTACAGCGCTTCACTTTACAGTGTGTGTCTTAACAGTGTTTTGCTTTACAGCAGTTTGCTGTAAAATGAAATGCTTTTACAGCACTATGCTCTATAGCATTTTGTTTTACAGCGCTTTACTTCAGAGCACTTGTCTTTACAGTGTTTCACTTTACAGTAGTATTTTGCTGTAAACTAAAACACTTTACAGCGCTTCATTTTACAGCATTTCATTAATACAGTGATTTTCAATTCTAGCCATTCTTCACTTACTCTGACTTGCTGTATAAGTGGGGCTCTACAGTAGCCTGGAACCTAACTTGCTGTACAAGTGGGGCTCTACAGTACCTGGAACCTGACTTGCTGTACAAGTGGGGCTCTACAGTAGCCTGGAACCTAACTTGCTGTATAAGTGGGGCTCTACAGTAGCCTGGAACCTAACTTGCTGTATAAGTGGGGCTCTACAGTAGCCTGGAACCTAACTTGCTGTATAAGTGGGGCTCTACAGTAGCCTGGAACCTAACTTGCTGTATAAGTGGGGCCCTACAGTAGCCTGAACCCTACCCTGCTGTATAAGTAAGGCCTTACAGTAGCCTGAGACCTAACCTACTGTATAAGTACCAAGTCAACAATAACTGTGGTAGCACAGACCTGCAGCCTCGTCGTCACTGTCGCTGATGGTGATGACAGAGACGGCCGGAGATGGAGTGTCACGGATGGTGATGGTTTGCTGTCTGCCACTGCTGTTGATACTGCTGCTATAATTGCTGTTGGAGTGCTGCTGGCTGCTGTGTGTCTGTTGAGATGCTTGACCAGTGTGTCCACCTGTTAATAAACAAGCTTTATAAAACAGTGGCACTGTACTCCTTACAATAACCTCTGTATAAGTCTTACAATAACCTCTGTACAAGTGCTACAATAACCCCTGTGTAATTGTTACAATAACCTCTGTATAAGTGTTACAATAACCCCTGTACAATTGTTACAATAACCTCTGTACAAGTGTTACAATAACCCCTGTACAATTGTTACAATAACCTCTGTACAAGTGCTACAATAACCCCTGTGTAATTGTTACAATAACCTCTGTACAAGTGTTACAATAACCCCTGTACAATTGATACAATAACCTCTGTACAAGTGTTACAATAACCACTGTATTGTTACAATAACGTCTGTACAAGGTATTACCTGCAATAACCTCTGTACAAGGTATTACCTATAATAACTTCTGTACAAGGTATTACCTACAATAACCTCTGTACAAGGTATTACCTACAATAACCTCTGTACAAGGTATTACCTACAATAACCTCTGTACAAGGTATTACCTACAATAACCTCTGTACAAGGTATTACCTACAATAACCTTCGTACAAGGTATTACCTACAATAACCTCTGTACAAGGTATTACCTACAATAACCTTCGTACAAGGTATTACCTACAATAACCTCTGTACAAGGTATTACCTACAATAACCCCTGTAGAAAGTATTACCTACAATAACCTCTGTACAAGGTATTACCTACAATAACCTCTGTACAAGGTATTACCTACAATAACCTCTATACAAAGTATTACCTACAATAACCTCTGTACAAGGCATTACCTACAAAAACCTAGGTACAAGAATTATCTACTATAACTTCTGTATAAGTTTCTTAAAACCTCCAATAAGTACCTATTTTTTTTTTTAACACACTGGTCATCTACCATCAAGGTAAAACGACCTGAAAAAAGAAACAGTTTCATCAGCATTCACATCATCAGTGTCTTGCCAGAGGCACCGATACGACGGTTTACATGTCACTCCAAACAGCCAATATTCCAAACCTCTTCTTTACAGTGCAGGTACTGTACCTCCCTCCCACCTCTTCTTTACAGTGCAGGTACTGTACCTCCCTCCCACCTCTTCTTTACAGTGCAGGTACTGTACCTCCCTCCCACCTCTTCTTTACAGTGCAGGTACTGTACCTCCCTCCCACCTCTTCTTTACAGTGCAGGTACTGTACCTCCCTCCCACCTCTTCTTTACAGTGCAGGTACTGTACCTCCCACCTAGAGGACTCAAGTCTGGCTAACCAGTTTCCCTGAATCTCTTCATGTTACCTTGCTCACACTCCAACAGCACACCAAGTCCCAAATACCACTTGCCTCCACTCACTCCTAACACACACGCACACACGCACACCACACACACCACACACACACAACACACACACACACACCACACACACACACACACACACACACACACACACACACACACACACACACACACACACACACACACACACACACACACACACACACACAACACCACACACACACACACACACACACACACACACACACACACATACACACGCACACACATGCACACACACGCACACACACGCACACACACGCACACACACGCACCACACACGCACACACACACGCACACACACACGCACACACACCCACACACACGCACACACACGCACACACACGCACACACACCACACACACACACACACACACAGCACACACACACACACACACACCACACACAACACACACGCACACACATGCACACACACATGCACACACACATGCACACACACATGCACACACACGCACACACACGCACACATGCACACACGCACACACACGCACACACACGCACACACACACACACACACACAGCAGTGAGTCATGGTACGTGGCGAGGTGTCAGAGTGGGCACCTGTGACCAGCGAGGTCCCACAGGGGTCAGTCCTAGGACCAGTGCTGTTTCTGGTATTTGTGAATGACATGACGGAAGGAATAGACTCTGAGGTGTCCCTGTTTGCAGATGAAGTGAAGTTGATGAAAAGAATTCACTCGATCGAAGACCAGGCAGAACTACAAAGGGATCTGGACAGGCTGCAGACCTGGTCCAGCAATTGGCTCCTGGAGTTCAATCCCACCAAGTGCAAAGTCATGAAGATTGGGGAAGAGCAAAGAAGACAGCAGACAGAGTACAGTCTAGGGGGCCAGAGACTACAAACCTCACTCAAGGAAAAAGATCTTGGGGTGAGTATAACACCAGGCACATCTCCTGAAGCACACATCAACCAAATAACTGCTGCAGCATATGGGCGCCTAGCAAACCTCAGAACAGCATTCTGACATCTTAATAAGGAATCGTTCAGGACCCTGTACACCGTGTACATTAGGCCCATATTGGAGTATTCGGCACCAGTTTGGAACCCACACCTAGCCAAACACGTAAAGAAACTAGAGAAAGTGCAAAGGTTTGCAACAAGACTAGTCCCAGAGCAAAGAGGTATGACCTACGAGGAGAGGTTAAGGGAAATCAACCTGACGACACTGGAGGACAAGAGAGATAGGGGGGACATGATAACGACATACAAAATACTGAGAGGAATTGACAAGGTGGACAAAGACAGGATGTTCCAGAGATTGGACACAGTAACAAGGGGACACAGGTGGAAGTTGAAGACACAGATGAATCACAGGGATGTTAGGAAGTATTTCTTCAGCCACAGAGTAGTCAGTAAGTGGAATAGTTTGGGAAGCGATGTAGTGGAGGCAGGATCCATACATAGCTTTAAGCAGAGGTATGATAAAGCTCACGGCTCAGGGAGAGTGACCTAGTAGCGATCAGTGAAGAGGCGGGGCCAGGAGCTCGGACTCGACCCCCGCAACCTCAACTAGGTGAGTACAACTAGGTGAGTACATACATACATACATACATACACACACACACACACACACACACACACACACACACTCGTGGAGGAGTCACGCGGTTTGAGCTCGTGTTTTGGTGATACAGTGGACCCCCGGTTAACGATATTTTTTCACTCCAGAAGTATGTTCAGGTGCCAGTACTGACCGAATTTGTTCCCATAAGAAATATTGTGAAGTAGATTAGTCCATTTCAGACCCCCAAACATACACGTACAAACGCACTTACATAAATACACTTACATAATTGGTCGCATTCGGAGGTAATCGTTATGCGGGGGTCCACTGTAATTTCTGACTGTGCCATAAGGAATAGTGTGTGGGATATAGGCGTGTGCACGCATAAGAGTGCATATAATCACTTAAGCCCCGAAAAAAAGGAAATATAAGTGATCACAGAAAAGAAAACAAAGGAAATATTGGCTGAGTGTTTAGTAGGGGCCGTTGGAAGGGTGAACGGTTGTGTCAGGCCTAAATAGTGTTGCCATAATAACGCAGTGGGGTATTTTGAAGAATAAGTGCGACTCAAGACCAGGAAGATAAGAGATGTGTATAGATGTGTCAGTAAATACAGTGAGTGAGTGAAAAAATTAGAAAAGCTGGAGACTATAGTGCATACAAGAAGTTAGTGGAAAAATTACCGAGAAGCATCAAACATCAACTTCTGGGACAGGACAGACCCTCAACGTTACTCCACTGCCAGCCGCAAGTAATATTCACCTAGTTTGAGTTGCATGGGGCCAGTAGTACCTGTCTCTAGCTGGAATTGGGGGTCACTCTCCTCGAGCTATCAGAATTAGAATAAGCAGCATTTACTGGCATTTAATAGAATTTAGAGGTAGCGGTACATAGGCGAAGCCTAGTGTATTTATTTTTGAACATAATTTTAAATGCATAAGACTACAGTGGGAACCAAGAGATCGGGTACATATGCAATACATATGATGTACATACGTGGGAAATAAGGACTGTTTACATAAACATATGCACACACACTTGGTGAGAACAGCTCTGCTGTTAGGTACTTGAATAGTTGTAGCACACACACACACACACACACAGTGGGCACCTGTGACGAGCGGGGTCCCACAGGGGTCGGTCCTAGGACCAGTGCTATTTTTGGTATATGTGAACGACATGACGGAAGGGTTAGACTCAGAAGTGTCCCTGTTTGCAGATGATGTGAAGTTAATGAGGAGAATTAAATCTGATGAGGACCAGGCAGGACTTCAAAGAGACCTGGACAGACTGGACACCTGGTCCAGCAAATGGCTTCTCGAATTTAATCCTGCCAAATGCAAAGTCATGAAGATAGGGGAAGGGCACAGAAGACCACAGACAGAGTATAGGCTAGGTGGCCAAAGACTGCAAACCTCACTCAAGGAGAAAGATCTTGGGGTGAGTATAACACCGAGCATGTCTCCGGAAGCACACATCAATCAGATAACTGCTGCAGCATATGGGCGCCTGGCAAACCTGAGAACAGCATTCCGACACCTTAGTAAGGAATCATTCAAGACACTGTACACCGTGTATGTCAGGCCCATACTGGAGTATGCAGCACCTGTTTGGAACCCGCACTTGATAAAGCACGTCAAGAAACTAGAGAAAGTACAAAGGTTTGCAACAAGGTTAGTTCCAGAGCTAAGGGGAATGTCCTATGAAGAAAGATTAAGGGAAATCGGCCTGACGACACTGGAGGACAGGAGGGTCAGGGGAGACATGATAACGACATATAAAATACTGCGTGGAATAGACAAGGTGGACAAGGACAGGATGTTCCAGGGAGGGGACACAGAAACAAGAGGCCACAATTGGAAGTTGAAGACACAAATGAGTCAGAGAGATAGTAGGAAGTATTTCTTCAGTCATAGAGTTGTAAGGCAGTGGAATAGCCTAGAAAATGACGTAGTGGAGGCAGGAACCATACACAGTTTTAAGACGAGGTTTGATAAAGCTCATGGAGCGGGGAGAGAGAGGGTCTAGTAGCAACCGGTGAAGAGGTGGGGCCAGGAGCTAGGACTCGACCCCTGCAACCACAAATAGGTGAGTACACACATACACACACAGGCCCATATTGGAGTATGCG